CACAGTCTGGAGTGTTACAGCAATGGGTGAGACATGTTTTCACTTTGTGTTACTGATGGTCACGTTATTACTAAAGGTTGTTTAACATTTGAAATGGTCTGTGTGCTTTCTGTGGTTCCTTTACCCAGTTTAAATACTACATTAAAAATGTAATGGAGACTTTCATGCAAGAAATTGTCTGTCTCGTCTTTTACACCTCTATTTCTTGTTTAAACCATACTGAACAATCTAGATGAAGAAACGTGAAGATGAAGGATTTTCATATCAAGGAAACTGAAACACGAATGAAAATCACTTAGTGTTATTCCCATAAAGCAGAAAGTTGCTCTTTCATCGTAAAAAACGCATGACATAAAATGTAAGGTAATAACTATAATGAAACAATGATGAACAAATGAAACAAGTGACAATAACCAAAAACCAAAACAAACAATTAAAATCCTCAAACTTTATATGTAAATAACTTTCACTTTTAAGTTGATACCAGGTGGCACAGTGACTCCGTTTTAATGTACAGTTAATCATCAACACTTTAAATAAAAACAAAACAAAACAAAATAAACATCCCACAAAATATTCCTTGGAAAACTGTGTCTCTGTGTCTCTGAAAATGATATTTAATGTTAATGTTAATGTCAGTAAGTGTGAACACTTCTATAAAAGCAAAAGCTCTGTCAGTTTGCTGGTCTGGAGTTTTCAGGCATGTGTTAACGCAATGCCTACACTGTAAAAAAATGTATTATAAAAGTATTTTACAGTTTATTTTACAGTTTTGTACTGTTCTTCTAGAACATAATTAAATTCACATAAATAGACTGTGATTTTACATTTCAAATGTAAATTAACATAAAATCACTGTAAATGTAATAAAACATCATTTTCTTGTTTTTTAAATGTATCTGTCTGTACATATGCATATTTAGATTGTTAAAATACATTCACAAATGCATCACAATTTCACAAATATTTGTCCGTTATTTGAAAGATTGAACTGTTAAATTCAAATGTAATGCTATGGAAAAAGATATATAAAATGATTTTTATAAACTTTTTCTTTTTACATCAAATAATAATTATTATTATTGTTATTTAGGGCGATCGTGGCTCAAGAGTTGGCAGTTCGCCTTGAAGGTTGCCGGTTCGAGCCCCAGCTCGGACACTCTCGGTCGTTGTGTCCTTGGGCAAGACATTTCACCTACGACCTACTGCTGATGGCCAGAGGAGAATTATAAAGTGGAATTGTAAAGCACTTTAAGGGTCTCAAAAAGTGGTCCAGTCGACTGCCATCTTCCCAGGTAGGGCACAAGCATCGAAGGTGTTTGGAAAGGGAGGGGGGATGAGTGTGTGCATATCAGTGTATGTGTGTGTGTGTGTCCAGAGTTCAGCTGAGACAGTGTCCTTCGCCCCGCCAGGCTAAGTAAACAGTCTTCCAGCCAACCCAGGTGGCCTTGCATGGAATGGGGGGAACAGTCTAAACACAGTTGTTATCAGGGTGTTTTGTTCAGCTCCAGCCTTGAGGCCGCAGCTGGCGCCGGAGGGGTCTCCGCATGAAGTGATGATGGTTTTTACTTTAGTGTGAACAGCTCATATGAATTTCAAAGCTGTTCTAACAGTCCAACACTGGTCTCTCAATCTCCCGTTGGAGAGCCGCGAGCTTTCTATGATGTTACCCAAACTTACATTCCGTGATGTTGTCGTTCTTTTTGCTCAAAGAGCAGGTTCTGAGAACTCACGACCGTAGTGCACTTCCCCAAGATGTGATCGAATTTGCGCTCAAAGGTGTTATTCGAGCTAGCCCCTCCAGATGTAATCCAGTTTTTCACTCAGAGGTCTTGTTCTGAGTATTCACGGCAGCCGTGCGTTCTCCAAGATCTTCTCCGTGCTGCACTCAATGAGCCCGTTTTGAGAAACTCACGCCTCGCCCCATCATTTCAATCCCAGCGGGCAGCCTTGTGGGGGTTTGAACAGCCGGTTCCACTTCCTTAATTCTTCGGTAAGCCAGGGCCAAGCCAGCTCCGATCAGCAAGAACCCTGTTATCATGGCTCCGAATAGGTAGATATCTTCAGCAGTCAGGCTCACCCGAGCCCAAACCTCTCGTTGAGAAGGGGTGTCAATTGCATTCAGAGACCAGTTGATCAAATCCATAATTCCTCTTTTAGGTTTTAGAGAACAGAATGTGAGAGAGTGTTCCCGGGAAAAGTAAGTAAAAACACAAGACAAGACAAGGCCATAAGAAGCTAAGCAGGGAAGATAAGGGCAGGAGAGGAGAAAGTGCGACCGCCTTCGCTGAGAGCCTAATCTGGCCTCATGTTTAGAGGGGCTTTCAGGGGAAACTCGCGTCTCTTTAAGAAGAACCTGGCAGCACGGCATATGTTTGTAAAGTTGTATCTGAACAAGTCTTCTGGAACAACAACCTTTCAACAGGTGAGACAAAAGTGCAAATGTTTGACTGTAACACACAGCTCCATGTTTCAAGAAAGTGTAACACAGCATCTCAGCACAAACACCTCATAACATAAGTTCCAAAGGTAGTGCAATAAAAACACATATTTTCAAAATAAAGCAATAAATCTGTGAGCAGCACTGATAACCTAAATAAAACAATTCAGCTTTCCATTATTGCAACTGGTGGAAAGCAACAGCAAGTAAAAAAAAAAAAAGTTAATGTTTACTTATAATTCCCAAAACTTATCTCAACCAAAAACTGGCGCATGACCAGGTCCAAAACAGACTTGATGCCAGAGATATGACTCAGAAATCTGCTGATGACCTGGCTTCATTATTAAACCAATAAACCATTGAAGTATACAGCATCCATATCCTAATCACACATTAGAAACTGTGCTTGTGCTGCTTTTTCTACTGGTTGACGAAAAACATAAAATATTTTTTCACATTTATTTGGGAGTTGGGAACACCTTGCTTGCTGACCCACATCTTCCCCATAGTTAGAACTGGCTCGTCACTTACAGTGTGCCAAAGCACTCCACAGGAGGAAGTTGTTTACCTGAATACCCAAATGGGCGGTGACTGCTGGGATTTTGTCTCTCGGACAAGATAGTTCAAGTTAAAAGCCTTGATAAAAGTCTTATTGAAGTGGAAACAGATCCAGCTCTTAGTGCTAAAATGTCCGTCCAGCTGAAAGTAAACGGACCGAGGGGAGAGGAGAAGATAGTCGATATTTGTGACAATATGGACCAGATGAAGGCCCTCACTGTGATGGAGCTGAAAAGGAAAATCGCCAAAGCGCTGGTGATAAGTAAGCATGACTTTTCTTATCGTCTGCTTTTACATTTTTATAGAAATGCAAATGTCATACTTTTATTGAACAGCAGATTCTGTTTACAGAACTCTCTATTTAAATGCAGTGCAAGTGCAGTGTCTATTTATGTTGTCTTCAGCCAATCAGACAACACACACAATAACCACAAACATGACTTTTAGTGGTCTACAGCAGATATAATGATTTAATAATGAAAATTGTCTTCTAAGTGGAAACTTTCTTTGAAAAAATACAAATCAAATCATCTTTTGCTAGTATCACTAACTCATCAGATCACATACATTAAACAATCCAAATATTAGCTTTGCTGATCTACTCTAAAAGGCCTGAAGCAAGCCCAGCTCTTTAAAGCTCTTCTCTCTGCTTCTGCTCAGTTGGTGAAATGCGGGTGGTGTTCAGGACGAAGCCGCTGGAGGACAAAGCCCTGCTGGTGTCTTATGGGATTAAGCACATGTCCGTCATCCACACACTGCTGATGCTGCCTGGTGGAGGAGATCGACCCGCATGAAGGAACACGACAGACTCTGCACTGACAAAATCATTTATTGTGAAGTCTTTATTGTGATCTCATATGCACTCACATGATCATATTATTGTTATGTACTTACTGCTGTCCCTTTTTTGGTCTTTATTTTTCTTATAATAAAATACATCATGTTTGTAGCACACTGCATAATGCGTTTCATATCTTATTTTTGAGACACTTTAAGAAATCAGATGTTTAGCTGGACTTTTGCTAGAGAGATCATTTCAATAAAACTCTTCCATGTTTGTTTGTGCTATCTTGTTTCTTTAAACTCCAGATTACAACAGAGGAATCTGGATGTTACAATATTTACAGAAACAGATCGCTGCTAAAAGCAGACAGTTACTGGGTGACTTCAAAACATAAAAGGCAGAAACCAATGCCTGAGCCAAGATAAGAATGTGATCTGAAAGACAGCTCTACTGAGGCAATACTTATAATCAGTGTTGGGCAAGTTACTTTGAAAAAGTAATTAATTATAGTTACTAGTTACTTCTTCAAAAAAGTAACTGAGTTACAATATTCTAAAAGTAATTAATTACTTGAAAACTAATGTGCATAAAAGGAATTTTCATTCACATGTTTTAGGACAGATTTTTTCTTTTAAAAAGACGCACGATTTATTTATTATTGTTAAAGTTTACTGCAGTTAACAATCTTGTTTGACACGTGAGGAGAAAAGGGGATTCCTAGGGTACAAGGAAAATTTAAAAAGTGAGAAATTATCCAAAAAGTTATTTTAAAAGTCTATAAAAGTCTGGTGCACATTCTTCAGATTTCTGGTGTAGAATTTTTTTCATTAAATATTAGAAAGTGAATTCTCTATTAGAAAATGAAGAAATTCTTTCAAATAATAGAAGTAAAACACTTAATTTTACAATGCTAATATATTAATTTGATGATAACTGGTCTTAATCTGACTTATTGCTGTATTTGAGACACAGAAAGTCCATGCATTAGATCAGCGGTCTCCAACCTTTTTTGCGCCATGGACCGGTTTATGCCCGACAACATTTTCATGGACCGGCCTTTAAGGTGTCGCGGATAAATACAACAAAATAAAACTAGTACTGGTACCGAAAAAAAGAAGATTTATTCATAACACACGTGAAAACACCCAGGAAAACCGAGTAAACGATAAAAACAAAATAACGCTGAAAACCGATAAAAACCCTGAAAACTATACATGTCACACCTGAGCCTCAACTCTCACGGCCCGGTACCAAACGACTCACGGACCGGTACCGGTCCGAGGCCCGGGGGTTGGGGACCGCTGCATTAGATTGTGGTAACTGTAGCTTAGTGGTAAATTTTAAATCAGGCTTTACCAACTTACTGAGCTGTTAGTTTTTCTATGTGAATCACACAATAACAACATTTCTGTAACAATCTAGTAATCATCCCACTGACACACTGGTATAGAAGTCTGTCTAGGTGCTACACCACTGGAACAAGGTTTGTAATATTCACTCGTCTCCAAACATTCCTCTTTCATTTTGAGGCAAACAAAGCAGAACTGCAGCTTACAACGTGTACAGAAGATGTTTTTACACCCAGTTGTGTTATGTTCCACTAGGAAGCCACATGTGGGACAGGCACGGATAGAGGGACAGCCAGTGATGCCCTCCACATTCTGGAAGGTGATATCTGGACATTTTCTCAGAGTTTCTAAGGACTTATTGTTGCAGCCATGATTTTCACATCGGTTTGAACGTGGGGACGGACCTTTCCATTCCCTCAAACACTGCCAACAGAACGTAAAGGTCCGATTTAGATCAGCTGTGCACACTGTACATTCAGTAGACAGATTACTGAAGTCAGTTCTCAGCACTGAAGACTTGCAGCCAGGACACTGTTAATAAAAAACGATTATTTATTTAATGCTCAACATTTGGACAAATATGGCGCAGAAATGCAGACTATGTAAATAAACTTACTGATTTAACATCAAAAACATCCTTAGAGTTGCTGAACATTTTCTTTTCAAAGTACTCGATTTCTTCCGGGGTTAGAAGGGCCATTTTACAAACCTCCTCAAAGGACCACTCAGCATGACATTCAGTTTGGCCGCACACAAACCTGCTCTCGCCCTGAAACACAATATACAAAAATATATATCAATCAGTGAAAGCAAAACATGTGGAACAAAATAGCAACTGCTCACAATAGTATATAGATCCATTAACTGAGCCACAGTCCAGTCTCATGCCTATTAGATTCCATTCCTACCATACTAATGTGAATGCTTTATTTATTTATTTTTGGATTCTGAAGTAGCAATCCAGAAAGAAAGCTTGAGAACTACCAGACTAAGAAAACCCCCATTAATTAATTCATGCACTGATGACCCATTACTTAAACTCCTATAAAACTTATACAGTGCATTTCTGCTCTATCTGGTAAAACAACATACAAACGTTCTTGACATCATGAGAGTTGTCAGTTCTGCCTTATAGTCCTGTAATGTTGAATTGGTGCCTTATTTTGTGACTGCAACTCAGTAGTTATGCAACTGAGTGCATAGTAATATACACTCAGTTCAAAAATCACTGTTAATTTATTTGGGGTTTATGATTAGATGAACGTGTAATATCCTACCTGATTCAATAAGCTAAGACACCAGTTGGTGAGAGACATGGGAGTGACAGCATGGCCGCAAGACATCAGCGCTCTCAGAGACTTGAAGTCCTCATACAAGACTATGAGTGACACATGAAAAATCTTATTACTGTTATCCACTCTACTCAACATTATCTGTAGCCCAGTAAAGGTAGAATTCATAGTCTGAAGACTTACAGTCCAACTCATCATCTCCATCCACAAATGTAAGTGTAGAGTCGGATGGGTCGTAGCACTTCTCCTCCTCATATGTCAAACTGCTTCTGGAGTCTTGAGAGGGAGTTCTGCTCCTCTGATGAGAAATCTTTTTCTTTTTGGACAGTTTTAAACCCATCCTGACTCAGCGCCGCCTTCAGATCATCTACAACAAAACAAACAGAGATCTCGCTAAAAAGTTTTTTCTCTCTTATTTCATCCACTTTGGACTTCACTCCATCAGGGACTGTCACTATACCAGATATTCTACATGCATTCACATATGATTAACATGTATTTATTCCATGTTTTATTCTCTCACTAAATGGTAAATGGTAAATGGCCTGTATTTATATAGCGCTTTACTAGTCACCACACCTTTTCCTTTATGCTGGGTGCTTTGTCTAACACTACGCGTACAAGTAGACATTACACAGGAAAGACAAAAGGAGCTCATCCACAACTATGTGTGTCTTGGTGCGCACGCATTACAGTCTACAGCATTAGAGTTTATTGATAATACTGCCATAAGAGAGCGTGGAAAAAGTCAAGCCTGACGCGTGGATTTCAAGAGTTTCGACAATATATCGCTGCTCAAATTCCGATTAGATCAAAGTAATCTATGTTACTCACTTTGACGCAGAATAATCTTCGTCATCTTTCGACGTCTTGACTTGCTTTGGAAATAGCTCCCAAATGAAAGTTATCCCGATGCGCAGACGGATCTTAAAAGCGAAAACCCTGAACTTTGTTTCAGACGAAACAACTAAATGGCCAATAGTACCCAACACTCCCATTATTTAATGCAAAACATGAAAACGGAGGTAATTACCAGTAAGAGAGGAACTGCCAAAATCCAACGATGTCAGGATTCCCAAAATTGTCAAATATACTCGCAAGGAAATTCTTGTCCCACAAGACACAACCGCAATAGTCGTCTTTCCATCATCTGTTAGAACAAAGCACATCAAACAAAAACATTCACGTTTACCTGATGACTAAAGTTTTAACATGAAGACTTGCCAAATAGAGATCCGGACGGTGACCTTTTCTTATTTTTCAAAGAAGAACAGAAGTCGCAGCTGCCCGCAGGTCGAACCCGCGACGTTGTTTTCTTGGTCATGTGGTCGCGGACGCGTAGTGATCCAGTCAGTCTCTCGCTACAACACAACAAATAGAGATCATTTTAATTCAACAGAGAAAACAAATCCATGGGTGTTTGTTGTTTGACGTTACATTTTATCACCAAATTTTCGTGAACAGTCAAAGAGGCTCCACTCCAATCACATAGATTTACCTCAGCCTGTTTTTTTTCCTTTTCTTTTTCTCTTTTTTTAAATAACACGCTAAATAACACTAATCCATTCGCGTCTGCCTATATGCAAAGGATGTCTTCTTTCACTTGCGTGTGTGGACACACGAAGGTCACCACTCTGCCCTCCTCCCCATGTCGGAAAAAACAACCTTTCATGGGTGTCAGATCGGGTCCAAGTGAATTAAATTTCCTCATGAGACCGCGACAACGAGGCTCGTAAAGAGCTCCGTATGTTGTTGTTGTTATGATGAAAATACAAAAATGGGATACACAATCTATACTCATTCTGTAATAATAATAATAATAATAATAATAATAATAATAATAATAATAATAATAATAATAATAATAATAGTTGTACTCAGTCCAGGAACTCAGTCCATTTGATGGAAAGCTGGAAATGTAAACACTGACGAGCTGCATACAATGTTATAAAAAGTCTCTTCCAGTTTGAAAAATTACGCTAAGGTGTATCAAACAGTGTCTGCCAATATTTTATGACCACTTGGACTTTTGCATGGAGACTCTCCAGTGCATCATGTGCCCTCTGGGCGGATTTCAAGCTGACACGAATGAGTAGGCTCCTCCCCTGTGCCTGCGTGCGCAACAATCCCATGGCGCGCGCAGTATAGAATCTCGACTTTCTTCTCTTTAAAATATAAAATAATCATTGTAAAAAACCTGTTCTTAAATAGAAAGTTCAATCTGAACTTGCAGCAAACAGCGACATCGGCGGATCTATTTTTAAACCAAGAAAAGAAGGTGAGCCGATAGTTCAAAGTCGAAACTACTCCTGGGTGAAAATATGGAATATGAGATGGTGCAACAAAGAGCTGGATATTTTTAACAAACTCAGATTTTTAAACTCAGATTTTAAAAAAAGCAAAACAATTTATCCTCAAGGAGAAATTCAAGATGATCAGCTCCAGGAAACGGAACCTGGAAGAAGTGAACACAGAAGAGACGAAAAAACTAAGAGAGGATGCTGGTGAGTTAAAGTCTTTTATACTGAACACTTGCTGGACAAAAAGTAAATAAATAAAACTAAAGCACCGCATACACAGGATTTATAAAGCCGATTTATAAAGCTGTAACTGTCACAGAAAAGAAACATCTTTAAACCATGTCCCCATAAGGCCCAGGCTACAATATACATTCAGAGACCACTTTATTAGGCACACCTGTTCAACTATTCTATAAGGCATCTAATATCCAGTCACATGGCACCAACCCACTGCATGTAGACATGGTCAAGATGACCTGCTGACGTCCAGATGAACATCAAAACCAGGAAGAAAAATAGTTTAAGTGACTTTGAATCGTTGATGCTTTGAAATATTTCAGAAACTGCTGATCTACTGGAATTTGCCCACACAATCTCACGTCACATAAGAGTTTTCATAAATAGATACAACAAACCTATTGGTCTGTCAAAAACTGTCAAATTAATTCCTTATATATGCTTTAAATATGCATCATTTTTGCGGCTGAGGTCTTTAAATTTTTTGTAATCTTTTCTACAGTCATTTATAAAAAAAAAATGCTATTTTTTCTTTCTTTTCCCCCCAAAGTAATCCAGCAGAAGAAATTTCATGGCCTGAAAAATCAAGGAGCCACATGTTATCTCAACAGCATAATGCAAGTTTTCTTCATGACACCTGAGATTCATGACAGGTGGGAGATTTTAGATTGCTTACATTTCACATCTGATGCTAATTAGAAACAAATAAACAAACAAATATACCCCTCTTCTGTGGAACCAGCTTCCAGTTTGGATTCAGGAGACAGACACAATCTCTTCTTTTAAGATTAGGCTTAAAACTTTCTTTTATGTCATAGCTTGTAGTTAGGACTGGATCAGGTGATCCTCAATCCTCCTTTATTTATTATTTTATTTCCCACTGTCGCCAAGTGCTTGCTCACATAGCAACAATCGAATTGAACTGAAAGTGAACAAAATTGAAGCGTTTATGCCACTGAGAATTATTTTTGATTCATCAGGCCCTGAGTTTTATAAGCTCAGATATGTTATTACAAGATTTCTGGTCATGTTAAACTTTCTTCATATTTAGAAAATGTCACACAGAATAAATATTCTTTGGTTTGAGAATTATTTTTTGGAATCATATTACTCTCAACCAGCTGCTATACTGAAAGAAAACAAGAGACGCGAAAAAAAAGTTTCATCTGTGGTGAATCGGTCCTTCTATCTTTCCCCACCTGCACTCCACCTCGTTTTATTTGAAGTGAGGTGGAGTGCAGACTATGGTCCTCCTCCATTCTTAGAGAAAAGTAAGCAGTTATTATCTGCCATGTGATTGAAGTGGAGCTTGTGCAAAACCATTGGTTCATCAGGTTATTGTAGTCACAATGTGATTATGATGGGGGCAAATGCATGGTTAATCAAATGTATGATCAGTCCCCTGCTGTGGGTTGTTGACTGTTCATTCATCACATAACTGGTATGAAAGCTTCATCTTCATCTACATTATTTTACGAATAGTTCGCAAAGCAGCAAACTTTCTGAACTCAAAACAGTGACTCCCAGTCATTACTTGGTTTTCTTTCATAAAAAGGAGTAAAAAAATAACTTTACGTAAAAAAAACAAAAAAACATCCAAAAAGCTTTTGTTTACTTCGCTTATCAACTTTTGAGCCTAGAGTGCAACTTTTGTTCTGATAGTTCTTTATGACAGTCTGGTGTGTTGTGCTGCTATCAGCAAATGTAAACCTGATCTTCTGACCCCAGTCACAAATAAGGAGTTGACTCTAGAGGTCTTACAGAGTTAGATTTTGTTTGTTTTCAACTTCAGTCCCCATGAATGCAACTCTTGGTTTAATAGAGGCAGTTTTTTCTTTCTTTTTTTAGGATATGCACTTTACCCCCTAATATCTTTAAAGAAAAATGTAAATTTAGGAAGCCCCTTGAGTTTTTAATTGGGTGTCAAATCAGTCAAAGTGTTTCATTTCGAATTATTTTGTCAGAAACGAAAGAAATCAAATGACTGAATAACATTGTTCTTGGTCACAAGCCTGTATTTGAAATTAGATAAAATAATAACAACATGGTGAATGGACCATAAAAAGTCAATATTAACTAAGAAATATCTGTTTTCCTGAAGGTTGGATCCAGAATCACAGAAAATAGACCAAGAGCTGAGAAACATCTTTGAACGTCTGAAGAAAGGAACGTGTGGAACAGAAATGATAACAAAAACTTTGGAGATCCATAATGGTGAGATGACCAGTTGGTAAAACATAAACATCAAAGGTAAACTCAAAGAAAAGGTCACATAGTGGCTGTGCTGAGTAACATTTACATGTAATTTTCAGTTTCTCAGCAACGTGATGCTGCTGACTGCCTGGATCTGATTTTATGTAAGGTCAGCCCCCGTGTCTCTGAGGTGAGAATCTTACCATCCAAATAACATTGAGAAATCAGAAAGTTTTCTAACTGATATTTCTGTGTTAAAGCTTTTTGAGGGTCAGCTGAAGTACACAACAAAATGCTCTAAAGGCCACGTCATCAATGAAGAGACAAATCCTTTCTGGACTCTTCCACTGTCACTGAGAGACAACCCTGATGAAACATACAGCATGGTAAGCAGCAGCCAGGGCTCAGACTGCACCCCTGGTCATGCTGTTTTTGAGTTAATGAAGAGATAATTCTGTCATTGGTACAGAAAAGATGTTTATTCTAACATACACTGTGGTGTAATCTGGATACATCATCAGTGATGTTCCCGGGCTCATCAGGTGTTTCAGGTCTTAATATCAGACACCTTCTCCTCGGTGACCCAGCCATGGGGATCAGGCCCTGACTTGCGTCCAGGTAGCAGGCTCTACTGCATAACACCTTTCTTCAACCAGAGCTATTGGGAATCATTCACTTGACAGCTTTCCTCCTTCACAGTCTACAGATCCCCAAGAGCACTAGGACTACTCAGTGTATATACTAACTTGCAAAGCCCCCAACACGCCACCTCCATGGGTTCACTGGGTGCTTTCAACCCTTGCCTCCAGAAATTGGCTACAAAGTATTTTGTCCACTTTCTTTCCTGGGCTTCCTCCACTCAGTCCTCCTGTGGGACCATCAACTCGCAGCGTGACTTGCTTAGACTCCTCAGACTCCCAGGACCATGTCAGGCCTGAGTATGGGGGTTACAATGAGCACTCTTTACTAGTGTGCATGAAAGCTTTTCAGTTGTGTATGTAAAAGTGTTTTACTAGTTGGTTTCTACCAACTCTTTCTTTAAGAGCTTGATTTCTGCCCGCCCCCCCTTGTTCTTCTTGTTGTTTTTTTTTTTTAAAAATTGCAACATGTGTGTTTGTGCAGGACGGAGGATTTGAAAAGATTTTCCAAACCAAGTCATACAGTGGAGACAACATGGTGTACTGTGGAGAATGTGAGAAAAAAACAGAAGCAACCAGTGTGAGTTTCTTTTATTTTAAAGCAGAGCCTGTTAGTCAAACTCGGCTGTGTGTAATCATCTCTCTTGTGGTTTTTAGAAATGTGAGATGGTGAAGTTTCCTCACATCTTGATTCTACTCCTGAAGAGATTTGACTTTGACTACTACACCATGTCAGATTTCAAGTCCGACTGCTGTGTCGCTGTGCCATCTGAAATGACAACAAACGTAAGGAGAAGTCACTCTGAAACCTGCTCTTATGTTTTTGTTTCTATAAACTTAGAACAAAACTAAGGAAATTTGTGATTGGTCAATTGTTTCTTTGTTGTAACTGGCAATTAATCTTATATCTGTTGGAAAGCCTGTTTATTTCTCCTTTAAATGCTCCCACATTTGTAAGGAAATGCGTTTGTAGGGTGAGCAGCAGTTACACCCATGAAAAACCTGCCAGATCTTCTCTGTCAATGCCAAACAGTTTACTCTGCTAATGACTCTTGCTTGGTGTTGTTTATTAGTTTGGGTGAAGGAAGGCTGAAGAAATAAGAAAGGTCCATGCTCACAGGTGCTGAGAATCTGGTACCTGGGGTACCAAAAGCTGAGATTTATTACCAAGAAGCATTGTTAGGGCAAAGAAATAATCAGTCAAACACAGATTTCCTTACTTTTTGCGGTAATTTTATATGTTCTTATGTCTGACTGCGTGCTCTGTTGTAGGGCAAAAAGTACAAAGTGTATGGGATAGTGAATCACATGGGCAGTCTGAGAGGTGGACATTACACAGCCACTGTGCTGTTCAGGGAGGACCACACCTGGTATGACTGTGATGACTGTAATGTGACAAAGGTGACTGATTAAATAGAACTGAAATATGGGTCATATTGAAAACCTACAGAAAGTGTTACAACTGCAGGGCTCATTTTAATGTTAATCTTGGTTTTGTTGATGTGTGCAGGCTGAAGAACAGCTGTTTGCAAAAACCAAGACATACAAGTAAGTTTAATTTTGTTTAACAAGTCTGACACAGCAGACAGTTTACATCTAGAGCTGTTTGTGAGCTTTATTTACTAAACCTTCATAAAATGATTTTTTTCCCCAGTGGTTTTGCGACCGAGTGTTTTGTGTGTTTTAGTTTTATTCTTTGATTATTGTTATTTTCTCAGCGTTTCCTGGTTTATTTTGAAAGAGTCTTGTGTCTCTCAGCTGGTTCCCTGTGTACTTCCACTTCCCCTGATAACATCCTGTGTGTATTTAAGTCCTCTGTCTTCCTTTGTTCATTGGCAGGTCATCTTTTTACCTTACATGTCTCGTCTTTGTATTCATAGTATTCATAGTTGTCATTGTTGTTTCATAGTTATCACCGTTTTCATAGTAAGTTTGAGTTTTTTCCAGTTTAGGCGTTAGTTTAGTTCTCGTCACTGTTCATGTAGTTTGCACTTGTCGTCATCAGCCCTAATAAAGGCTCATCTTTGTTTAAAGACTACAGTTCCTCTTTCAGTGTCTGCATTTGGGTCCGTTTACAAAACACACCGAGGTACCCCGCCGTGACAGGCAGTTATTTTTACCACTTGTTGGGGCACTTTAATGTCTTTAATAAGCATGTATGACTGATGGATTACTGAACATTGTTGAATTTCCTTCTTGCTCTGTGTGAACTTCAAAATGATGGTTCGACAGTTCCAGGACTGCATATCTGGTCATGTACAGAGGTAAGATCACAAAACTACTGAACATCAAGAAATCGTTTAAGAAGTTCATTCAACACTGACAAATAATTACTGTGTCTTTTGTGAAGCCTCGAGAGAGAGCCAGCAGAATTGAAAGAACAACAGAGGACCAGGAGAAGAGTGGGGGAAAAGGATGAACCAAAGAAAAGAAGAATGCATGAATACATAAAGAAATCTGGAGAAAAGAACATCCACGACGATGCCCTGCAACCTGGCAAGAGTTCAGAGATAAAGAGGAATACTTTTTTGATCACTTTCATCACTGTTTTTTTGGCCTTAATTGTAATACTTGCAATGATACTCACAGCTCTAAGCAGAAACTGATGGAGAGGAAGAAAGTCACCAGAGTTTATGGTTTTGAAAATTTCAGCTTGTAACAGAACCAGTTTTGTCAAGGGAGCAATGAAAATGTTATAATTGCCTTTCACAGATAACTATGGTCGATGTTATGAACGCAACTTTGTAGAAGCCATTTAAATAATTGTAAAATCAGTTGTTTGAAGTGAGGAGCTCAAAGAAGGTGCTGTGGTGATGATCATGATGATGTTGATGAATTTTAATCACAACAGAAAAAATTCAGGCATCAAAATTGTATTTTTCACATTGTCACTGTAAATTCTGACGCACAAACAGCCATGACATGCAATACCAAGATTTCATTAGCAATAAACGATTAAATAATAACTGTTGTAATCATAAAGTTTTCCCCAAAATTGTAAAAAAATAATTTTCCAAATAAATAAAGGGTCCCACTCCACAGTGAGTGATAGTGACAGAACAATATCAGATATTTGTTTGACGTGCAATTTAAAGTTCACCCAGAAGGAGGCAGTGATCCAATAATGTAACTACAATGGTTATGGATATGTAATCTCTCATTATTAATATTTAGCAACTTATATATTTACTTATATATTTCTGGCTTTAATATTACATAATAGAAACTGTAAAAGTAAGTTTATTACCTACTGTTGTTACCTGAAACCACAAAGACCATCAGCTGTAAGAGCGGTATGTTGACATAGCCTATAGGCTACTTATAAACACTGACAACCTTTCAATTGATATTCTGCACATTGTCGTCCAGTTTCTGAATCCTGCAGACAATATTAATTGCAGTGTCCTGCCTTAATTTTTAGAGCTCACCATCCAAGCCAGCGTCCAACAGTCCAAAAGCAAAGTGTAGCTGAGTGTCATAGTAGAGACTGAGCTGCTGCTGTCAGATGTTCTCTCATCATCAAAATCTCTTGTGAAAGGTAGCTTGTATTTTCATCTTTAGCCACCTTCAGCCACCAGGTGGGCCTTCTTCACATTTACTTTCTAATAGTTTACTCTGTATATCAGGTGTGTGAATTAAAGCAATTAAAGGTGCTGCTAGTTAGAGACATTGTGGAATTTGTTGTGTATGTGGACTACTCAGATTTAATTTGTAAGGCACTTATACAGTTGCTGACTAATATACAAAATGTCTATGTCGTACACATTTAATGTTATTCCTTATCACTTTCTGATCAGAAACACACCACACCATGTTTTCATCCTCACTGTGATGGACTAAGTCCTCCTGATCTACAATCACTGCTGCATCAAGTGCTTCTTTTCAGTCCACACTAACAACATGCACTAATCTACATATTCACTATGAACATGTAGATTAGTGAATGTTGTAAAAAGAAACAAACAAAACAAAAATTTGAGTATAGCTTCCCATATAACTTTTTCATTTTCCCACCGAATAACTGAAACTATTCATGTTTTTAATACGATTTTACTCCCCCACCTTCCCTCTCCCTTTTAAAAGCAGCTGAGATGCAACGTGATCCATGATATAGGCAACAATCATTAAAATCAGAAAGCCTAAACATGCACTGTTTACTAGAAAATTCACATATGCTCTCTAACCCTGTGTTAGTTACTATATATGTCTAAAAACATATCGTAATGTTCATTTTATAATACATGGACAAAGTCCCAAAAGATTTGGATCATTTGACTAAACTGGAAAATCACATGCCTTTCTCCAGTTTAACAACGTTGGATGGAATGGTATCAAGAGAATATCATTTTGTATTTGTGGCTGTTCCTGAGTTTTTCATTGCAAACATTATCCTGCATCATAGATAAATCAGCTATTCTAAAAGATTTAAAAAAAAAAGCTGGAAAAATAAACAAATGACTTCAATACAACTTTCTTGGGAATACTTATTTACACACTAATTAATCATTATTTACAATCTTTGATACTTAGTACTGAACTCTAAATAGGTTTGATAAAAGTCTTAAAATGTAAAGGAAGACCCAAAGATGACACAGTTCAGTCCCAGCTGGCAAAGATGATGCATTTTGTCCTTTGGTGTATCATATTTCAGTCCTGCTGTGCATCGATGATGATATCCGTCAGCCTCCGTGGACCTTCGCCACCATCTGCACCACAGACGAGGGTTTGATCCCATACTCCGACAGAGATGCAGAGTCATCGTCCAGCGGCTTTCCTGAGACAATCAGCCGGAATTCAGCCACAAGATATCCTACACACACAAGACAGGAGAGAGTGAACCTCACTAAATATTTAAACATGTCACAAATAATTATATTATGTCCCTGAACACCACTGATGATTGTTATTTTTAAAAGTCACTCAGAGAGCACATGACTGTGGCCACTGCTCAACTTAAACTAAACTAAGTGTGAAGAATATTTAATTCAACTGTAATAAAATAATAACTGGAAACAAAACCAAACCTGAGTGTGCTCACAGTTTGTGCTACTAACTGACATACAACAACAGTAAACACGTACAAATGTGTGCATGGGACTGTGCTCATCTATTAACACAACCTGAGATGTCCACTTGAATGTGTGTTTGAAGTTGTTCTGTTTTATTTCTGTGCTTCTTGATTCTTGCACCACACAAATACCTCGCACGACAATAAAACAAACTGAAACTGATACTGAACATAATGTAAACCAAACTAAATCAAAAGATTTTTTAATAATAAAAATTAAAGCACATTAAGGTCATTTAAAATATGAATAAAATAAACGAGGACATTTGAATAGGCTTATAACAGAGTCTGCCTCATTTGCTTGTCTTACTTTTTATCAGATTTCTACATGATCACACGAGACACAGATTAAACACAGATCTGTTTTGAGTTGTTGGGCTTACCTTTCTTGGGAAACAGTTGCGCTGCTTTCATCTTCAAGTCTTTCACGGTCTTCTGCTGCTTTTTGGAGTGGTTTAATTTGATAATCCCCAGCTCACCTGCAGGTGAGCGAACAGACACGCTGTACTTGCACATTGTGTTTGTCTGGATCGTGTGTGAGGCTGAGGAGCTCCTTTGGGTTCTGTTAAAGTCAGATAAGGTGAGTGTATTAGTCACTGAGATGGGCTGTCTCTAAATAGTTGTTCAGCTGACGGCTCTGTCAGACAAACATGAAAACACACTTCAAGAATTTTAGGGAAGTTCCTGAGTTCTAATTTAGTTTCACTATCATTTCCACACAGAGATCACATGATTTATTTAAACACAACAAACTGTTTACACTGTCACACTCAGTGGATACTAACACTAGTATTAATACTTAAAGGGCATCAAACACTTTATCTTATGTACTTTATCAGTTTTCTATTCTGGTCAAAGTGTGCTTCATTGTTTGATTGCAGTACAGCAGAGCTCCAGAGGAGAAGATAGAAGTCAGCAGCAGCCCGTATTCAATAGAATATTTGTATAAAGTGAAGTAAATTAGAGGGGAAGAGAAGGAGAGAGAGAGAGCTGTATACAGACATCAAACATACCAACTAATTAGATTGCTTTTGAAGGTTTAGGTTAAACTGAGATTTGCAAAAGTGAAAAAAGATTAAATATTTTTGTAAGCATCATATTTCTTTAGTATTTAGTGCAATGCACTGTATGCATGACATACCCCCAAAAGGTTTGATCCTGGAGTCGTCCCTAGTGTAGAAAAAGTCAAGGTCAAGCTCCATGTTCACGTCACTCGGAGTCATTAGTTGTTATGCTCATAACCGCGTCAGACGTTTTTTGGTTGCATCTAGAGCGAGGATGGCGGGTCTGCTGCACAGGTAACATTCAGCGTGGTTCACTCACTGGTGTGTGTGTGTGTGTGTGCTACATTTACTCGTCTGTTTTCACAGGTAAAGACTCTTATGATCGGACATTTTGTTATGTTTGGAAACTGCGCACCGGAGAGCGCGCGCTGTGCCCGATCATTCAGTGCCACAGTCTGAGATCACAGTGATACTGAAACATGAAGCCGCTGATTAAAAACTTTGAAGCCGCTGATTAAAAACTTTGAATGTGAAGAAGAAACGGGAACTGTTGATCGAAGATCCCGTAACACTGCAGCGCGCACGCTGTTCTGACTCCAAGCCGGATTTTGCTCTTTAACGTGAAACCGGAAGTGTTCATTCAGATCTGTTTGTTGTTGTTTCGCAGTGTGACGCTCCCAGAGTGCCGACAACACAGGAGAAGTGTTACGACCCTCATGACCCAACGCTTAAGTTTGTCGATAAGGAGGATGATTTGGACTGTAAGTATCACGCGGGCACTTTTCAAAGTGATGTCAAACAGATAGAATTTAATGGAGCAACAGTAAAAAAAAGAAAACAATCAAATGCATAAACCAATGTAAGAACAGACATCAGCATATATTTCTGTGTAACACTGATTTTTGCTTCGTGTGTGATTGTTCTCAGTTTTGTATGAAGGCTTCAAATCTCTCAGAGCTCAGATGTCCTGTGGTCACGCTGTGACCCCGACCTCTCTCACCAACTGGTGTCGCAGGTTGTTGGACCAGGTAGGCCACTGAAAGGTTGTCTTTGTTAAAATAAACATGTAGCAACAAAAACAGTGATGAAAAAAGAAAACAAACGATGAACTAGATGGTGGTGGTGGTGATTGGGATGAAAAGCTTTACAATTACAAGGAAAATCCAGCAACGGAACCCAGGGAATGACAGCTATATATCTGGTTCAAACATATGGTAATTATCAAGGAGGCGCTCAGGTCTGCTATACTTTAGACAGAGACACGGCTAAGGCCATAAAATAGTTTGACAGCTATTTAAAACAAACCAATTGCACATATACCATTAATCACTTCAGGGCTGTAGCTCACCAGTGAGCGAATGGACTGCCAGAAGAAAACCAGAGAATCACCAATCCACAGATGCACCTCACCTCTAATTAACACTCAAATTAAAGTTTAGCTCAAACCAGGGCTGTCTACACCGGCTCTTGCTTACCCTTACCCATCCCTGTTGCTTGCCTTGTCTACACCTCGTTCCAAATTATTATGCAAATGATATTTTTCTCTGTTTTTCCAAAATAGTTGATTCAAATGACAGTCGGCATATTTTTCAAGTCATCGACCAATAGAGTATAATTCAAATGTTACTGAACAAAACTCCCAATGAAAACAGTATGTTTTTCAAAAATGAAAAACTTAAAATGCACTGTTCCAAATTATTACGCACACAGAGTTTCAAAAGATTTTATAGGTTGTAGAGAATTGAAAATGGTCATTTGTTGAATTTGCACTGAAATCAAAAGGTATTTCAATCAAAAACATCTTAACAGGTCAAGTTACATATTAACATAGACCCTTATTTGATAGCAGTTCTACAGATTCTTGCACTCATGGAACTTGTGAGTTTTTGGAAAGTTTCTACTTGAATGTCTTTGCAGAATGTCGAATAGCCTCCCAGAGCTGCTGTTTGGATGTGAACTGCCTCCCACCCTCATAGTTTTTTGCTTGAGGATGCTCCAAAGGTTCTCAATAGGATTGAAGTCAGGGAAGAATGGGGACCACACCATGAGTTTCTCTCCTTTTATGCCGATAGCAGCCAATGATGCAGAGGTATTCCTTGTAGCATGAGATGGTGCATTGTCTTGCATGAAGATGGTTGTGTTGCAGAAGGCACAGTTCTTCTCTTTCTACCATGGAAGAAAGTGGTCAGTCAGAAACTCCACATACTTTGCAGAGGTCATTTTCACACCTTCAGGGACCCTAAAGGGCCGACCAGCTCTCTCCCCGTGATTCCGGCTCAAAACATGACTCCACCACGCTCCTTGCTGATGCGACCAGCCTTGTTGGGACATGGTGGCCGTCCACCAACCATCCACCACTGCATCCATCTGGACCATCCAGGGTTGCACTGCACTCATCAGTGAACAAGACTGTTTGAAAATTAGTCTTCATGTAGTTCTGGGCCCACTGCAGCCATTTCTGCTTGTGAGCATTGGTTAGGGGTGGCCGAATAGAAGGTTTATGCACAACTGCAAGTCTCTGGAGGATCCTACACCTTGATGTTCGCAGGGCTCCAGAGGCACCAGCAGCTTCAAATATGTGTTTGCTGCTTTGTAATGGCCTTTTAGCAGCTGCTCTCTTAATCTGATGTATTTGTCTGGCAGAAACCTTCATCATTGTGCCTTTATCTGCACGAACCCATGTGTGCTCTGACTCAGCCACAAATCTCTTAACATTATGGTGATCACGCTTAAGTTTTGTGAAATATCTAAGGTTTTCATTACGTGTCCAAGGCATTCAACTATTTCACGCTTTTCAGCAGACAGAAAGATATTTTTTCCTTCCTATATTGCTTGAAAATGGTGGTCTGCTTAATAATGTGGAACATCCTTCTTTTGTGGTTTTTCCTTTAATTGAGCTCACCTGGCAAACTAATGAT